ACACAAGAAACCATTTGTCTTACACTGTGAAAAACCACTGATTCATAACACCTACCTATGAAACATTAAAAAGCAATCAAACTCACCTCTCCCACGGCAGTGGCAAGCATGGTAACAATTTTTTCATGAGGGACCGCCACGACACTCTCGCCATTTATTTCTATTATTCGGTGACCCACACGAACTCCACCGCGTTCGGCAATGCCGCCACGCAGTAAACTACAGATCTTAATGAATAAAAAATTGAGAATAAGGCGGCGATGCAAATTCAGTCGACTTACCACACCGTTTTGAACACTGAAGCCCAACTGATACTTCGTATCCGGTCGCTTGATCTTCACTTCTACAACTGGCGGCGTAGGCACTATTGTCAATCTAACGGCGGTCAAGCTTTTGGCATCCTTTAAAACGTAAGTACAAAGAAGTTGATATGATAATCAAATAACTCAGACCTTGATATACTGTTGACAGGATGTCAATGGCAAACCAACCAACGATATGCCATTGACGGCAATTAAGTGGTCACCGATGTTGAGCTTCTTGCATCTAGCCGCTGGTCCATCAGGAAGCATATTGGCAATTACCACCGTTGGTAGCATACTGCCCCAACCAGATTCGACGATCACTATACCCAAAGGCTCGTCCTTCTTTTTTGGCACCACAGCCTAAAGAATACATTGTCAAAGTTCGCATCCCGAAACATCTAAACGGGTTACATCTTTCAGCGTATCCTTGCTCGAAAACAAATCTAATTCGTCGCTGAATATTTCCTGAGAATTGAGTACTTCTTGGTAGTCAAGTTCTCGCAAATAGCCTGGATCTTCAATTCCTCTAGATTTCAGAAACTCCAGATAGGCCACTTGGAAAGCCTGTCCAATCGACTGAGCAATAAACTGAGCCTGAAAAAAATTTAAACTGACCTAAAAAAGCCATAGCATCGTTTTTATTCAACAAAAATGGCTCCTCCATCTCCTACATCCCACAGCTCATGGCGATAGAGGCCTTGAACTGAAAAGAAGGCGGTCCCATGTGGTAAGCTGTTTCGTCCAAGTGCCATGTGATTCGCCTAAGGGCAACTGCCAGGAATGCGATCGTAAGACTCTGTTGCAAGTGTCTACAGCTGAAACAGGGGCACTGTGTGTAGGTATCAACGTTACCAGTTTCGCCAGCTGACAAGCAGAACAACTCTGCTCTGGTCGATTGTCGCCGATAGAGAGTAATCTAGTTAATTCAGAGACAGTTCCGCTGCGAACGAAGTCATTTACTCCATGACGAATAGCCGCCTCCGACTCTGCATACGGAAGGACTGAAGGTTAGGCTCACTTTACGCAGCTTCTGGGTCTCGGCTCCATAGAAGAGAACCGGTAAAATGTAGGTCTGATAGAGCTCATTTCGAGAGGGCGATCGATGATCAAACGTGCGACAAAGCGTTTGTGGATGAACCGATGATGCCAAGACGATGAAGCAGCATCTCACATCTGCAGTGACGGGAAGAGTTCTGTAAATTCACGAGGCAATCGTGCTGTTTTACGACTTCAGCAGACTGACTGTCCGCGAGAACGTTGGCCGTTCTCAGGTCCATCCTTTGGTCTAGCTAGAAAATCTTGAGGCCCAGCTTGCTTGAGGTCTTGTTGAAAGCTGAGTGGATAGACAGGAAGAACTCAAGAGAAGGGACAAAAGTGCGAAGTCGTCTGCGTAGACCAGACACGTGAAGGTGGATAAGCCAAGACAGAAATTCCGGGGCAGCGGCATGT